TGTTCTCTGGGAAATGATGCAGAAACTAGGGAATACTTTTTTCAAAAATTGATGTTTTTGTATTTTAGGGAAAACCATTACACCATGCAGGTTTTTCAAAAATTGAGGCCTTCAATTATTAAGACCTTGCAGTCTAAGTTTTATCTAACCTGAGATTAAGCTCTATGGTGGGCACTGAGTAAAAATGAAAAGAAAGCCTGATATAAGCTGAAGCAGCCAATCAAAATTACTTCTTCTTATAATAGTCTGCAAATTTTCCATAAAGTGGAAAAAATGTAGAAATTTGCTTACTTTGCAAATTTAATAGCTTACACCTTTTTTAATGAAACATAAAGCAGACATTTATAAGTTACATTAAACATCTCTAAAAATATAACTTGATCTTGTGTGTTCCTTGAGTTGCAGCTACATGTAGAAGTAAAAAACATCGGGAACACTGCATGTGAGGTTTTCGGTATTTTGGCCAGGTGTGCTCAATGACTTTCAAAATACCGTAAGAAAATTTTCTCTTTCTCTTTAGCTGTCACATAGTAAGTAAGTAAGTAAGTAAAGCCTTTATTTAAAGAGGGTAGCACCTAATAGCCAAAGGCTAATAAACTTACATACTGGAAACAATTTTCCTGGGGAACCCGCAGCCCCCCATCCCCACTGATTTTCTGTAAAAAAGTCTTTAACATACTTGGAGGACTATATAGCATATTATTTTTGTATATATCTGAGAAAAGGAGAAACAAGTCTAAGAACAATTTGCCTGGAGATATTTAAAATCTCAGAAACATAAAAATGTAAATCCATCTAATTCTGACCTGTAAATATGGACAGAAGAAATAAAACTAAAGGGAAACTGACTCAAACAAGGTGCATATTAACATACACAACACTGAATAAACACAAGTCTTTATATTCATAAACTTGGAATACATACGTGCAATGCATGTTTACTAGCACAGTATGTACCAGTATAAGGGGACCCTGAAAAAAATTACTGTAGTAAATTATAATCATTTTAACTACACAAGATGTATAAAATTAAACTTAGAATAAAAAAGGATTCCAAAAATTATTCTTAAAAGAGTGATACCATCTTCTTAAATTTCTATTATATGAGCTGACACAGTTCTAAAAATTCCAAAAAGGGCCGGAAAAGGCCTCTTTTATATTCAAAATTGCGGTAGAAGGTCATGTAGTAATAAGATGAGTGCATGTCTGTGTGCCTGAATGGGTGTGTAACTGGGTGAATTAAGAACTTAACCCTTTAAGCCAACAAATGTAAACACGTACAAATTCTCCATACTGATCTCCAATTAACATTCCGTAAAGAATTAGTTAAGATAATTTGATAAAAGATTAAAATATTTTCCTACTGGAAATTATTTTATTAATTCTCATAGGATCTTCCTTGATCATGCACATCTAACATTGTTGGGGAAAAATTGATGTTGGTCATGTACTCTTGGGACTTAAAAGGTTAATTGAGGGAATGAGTGATCAGTGCTGGAATGGGTACATGGCTGGTGAGATGAAGCATGTCATTGGAACTTGAGCCACTTTTAGCATTTAATGGAAGCATTTTCATCACTTTTTGGATTAAAATATTCTACAAACTTAAATTTTAAATTACCAAACTTTCCAGCAAGGCTGCTCACAACAACAATCTGTCCTTTTCGGCGTTCAATCATGTGGGGAAGAATTGCTTTTGTCAGGGAAATAGTGCCAACAGTATTCAAATCCAGAATAGCTCGGTCAACTTCGAGTGAGGTCTTTCTTATCAAACCCATTTGTGCCCTTGCACCATTATTAACCAAAATATCAACCTGAAAAGAGACGAAGACACTGTACTTAGGATTGTATGGAAAGTTTCTTTACATAAGAACTTGATTAGGACAGCACTTAGTGGTTTTGAAACATTAATATATTTAGGTATACATGAGTACCTTTAAACTAAATCAATACATTGATTTTTCTCCTGGCATATTTTAAACAACTAAGTTATACCTGCCAACTCTCACGCCTTAGGCGTGAGTCTCACGCCTGCGGGTTGAAAACTTCGATCTCACGCCGGCTCACGCTTGCGGGCCAATTTCTCACGCCTGATTGAAAAATGTGAGTTGTTGCCGTCTTGCTTGACACAATTTCCAAACATATGTTAACTTAGACCCATGTAAGGAACGAAAACCATGTGTAAAATGAATAAATGACAATACCTTCCTTTTCGAAGTGAAAAGCACTGGGAGCGAGCTCGCCTTCAGTAGACTTCGGTAGACTTCGGATCGGAAGACTTCGGACTTCTTCGGGAATCTTTGGAAATGATCGTGTCGTCTTCAAAAATCCCAGCACTCCCAGGATAAAACTCTCACGCTTATATCTCAGAAAAAGTTGGCAGGTATACTAAGTTTTGGTTAAGTCTGTATTCTGCACTCAAATAGATAAATGTGATGTAACACTTTTTTAAAACCTTTTTTTCCAAAGACATCACCAATAAAAAAAAAGTCAGTAACTTTGTAACAATATTTTTCTTTTTCATTTTTTCAGGTACCATAACCATGCTCTCTTCATAATTCTAGAAGGAAAATGCATGGCTAGAAAATTCTGTATTTATAATACAGTCAAACCCCACTTTACAGACACCGGCTTAAGGACACCTCATTATTACAGACAGTTCAATAATTGCTTTGTCCCTGGGAAAAGAAAGCCCTCACACGAGTGTTGAAAAGACAGGAACATCTAACAAAGAAACTCTAACAGCTTTAATAACAACAAATCGCTCACAGTACAAGATGAATACGATATGAACACACAAGAAGAGGAAAACCTACGTGCAATATACAAAAGTAACACAATACCACAGGCACTACCTACTGGCACTACATTTTCTCTAAATTCAACCCAAATTCAACAGACAACCTGTTAATATGGAACTAACTATTGAAAAGAGGTTTACTTAAGAAGTTGACATCATGGTCATTGACATAATAGGCACAAACTACACAATGTATTAACACACAGAAATTTAAATATTTAAGAGAAAACACTACAGTGTACAAAAAAACCGAGACGTACAGCTGAATTAAGCATCAAGAAGACAACAGTCTATAATTGCATTGCCATAAGAATGAACTGACATAAAGAAAAGCATTAAGATGGTTGCCCCTTTAACTGAACATAAAAGGGAGAAACTTTTAAGAAATACCAAATTAAATTTTATATTATTAGGTTGATGTTTCTTATATAAAAATGTGATTTATAACAATTGGATGCTATTGTTTTTTTCTGTCTTGCAGTCTGGTGCTGGATAAATCACACCGATCTAGAACCTGGAACAGCATGACATGAGGCAGCCACACAATGAAGTGAGTGGCCATGGGTTAGCACTAGAAAAATCAGCTTTGATGTCAGTTATCAACCCTTAACCTGGCTGTCCACTCAGACCAGCTTCTGTTAAATTTAAGCCCTATATACATTACACTAGTTTCTTAATTTTACCTTTCCAAAATGCTTGAGGACATCTTGGGCCAGTTTTTCATGTGTATCAAATTTTTGCAAGTCCAATGGAAGGACTAGAATTTCTTGATCTTTTTTAAATGATGGGTCATTGCCAAGGAAAATTGCTGGTAGGAAAGAAATAGTAAAAACAAACTCAGTACATAAATAAAAATCTTTGATTCTACCTGCATTCAGACTTCAGGAGTCGACCTTTGGGGATAGGGTACTTCCTTATGTTGTCACCTATCTACACAAAGAGCATTTTTTACTCTCTGTCAAGAGCAGGGCATACACTTCATCTGGGTTTCCATGTATCTGTCCGCTGCTCTAAACAGCAATCACACACTGCTGGGCAAGTAATCAGATTTCATTTTTATCCTGAACAGAGTTACCCTCAGACACATCCCCTCACCCATACTTAGAACAGTTACCCCCCACAATCCCTTCAAACACACACGCACCCAGGGTGAGACTTGCTCTAGCAAGTTGAGCATTAAAATGTATCCTTATCAAAACAAGTTTTGGCCATTGAAAGGCTTCAAAAGTAATTAAGACAGTGTAGCTTTAGATCTTTCACAATTTTGTACATTTATATCTCCATGCCACTTTTCACTTTTCTGAACTTTACCTTGGTCTTACAGTCAAACCAGGTCAAGCGTTCCCGTCGCTAACGAACTAATGAATTCATTTACGAAAAATGATTTCGTTTGTTGATTCAATAATCCATTTATAAAATGAACGATCCAATATTCAAATTTAGCCTCGATTCCATAATCGAATGTTGATTCGATTACTGTTTTTTGAAAAACTACACTTTCCACAAGTTGACCTCAGAATTTTGTTTTTTCCTCTTTTTTTCTGAGAGTCGAGTGCGGGCGAGTTCTGAAGTTCAAACCCAAACAAACTGTTACATGTACGCCAGTTTTCTGCCAGTAATCAGTGCAACAGACCTAGGCCTGACCTCTTAGAAAACACGACAGTCAAACTGAGGTCAGTGTATGTGCGGTGATTGGTGGATTTCGATCCTCGGCCTTTGTCAGTTTCTTTGCGTTTGCGGTCTGTCTATTCTAGCTGTTATTTTGATTAAAGGCAATGAAAAACGCAATCGTAAACGGCAGGAAAAGGGAAGCAAATACGATTGAACACAACAGACAAGAATAAAGAACAGGTAGATTTTGTTCGTAAACCAAATCAACATTTGATTATTGAATCGAGGTACAATTTGACTGTTGGATTATTCATTTTATGAATGGATTATAGAATCAACAAACGAAATCGTTTTACCATTAATGAATTCATTAGTTTGTTAGCGACGGGAACGCTTGACCTGGTTTGACTGTAATAAATATAATTATCATAATAATAAAATATAAATTATATAATAATCTTGGTCAATTAAATGTCAAGTGCAATATGCTGAAACTGCTCCCCCATGGGTGATGGTTGACGATAAGCAGGCATAAAACAGTTCAACCAATGTTAGGAGGCCCTCTTCGGGGGGCAAGGGAAGGGGGATACGTATGTCCCTAGGTCTGGATTTCAAAAACAGCCATTACGCATTATCGAGGAGTGGGCCATGTCCCTGTCAGTATTTAACACATAATTTTTTATGTCATTTGTCACCATTTTATCTGTTCTTATGATGCTGTTTTAAGGCTGTGTTGCTTGTCAGAATTTTACCCTTAAACAGGGCCTCTGATCTGTCAAACCAATCTGAATTTTAAATAACACATTGACCTCTATTAAGCAGGCTCTTTTTTAAGATCTACCACACTTGCACAATAACTACAATGTGCATGGAATCAACCTAAAGTGGTCATTCGCTTTCTTTTGGCACAAGAAAGATGTACAAAGTAACTCTTTAAAGGCCTGCAATTTGTCACGTGATAGATATTTAGCTTTGTCACCATCTTAGGTCAACCAGCTAAAGAATTAAGCAGTGAGTTGGTTTTCCCGGACAGTTACCGCTTAATACAGGTCGACTGTAAGGCACGAAGGTGTTATCAACCTCAGCGGATAATACCCTCTGAGATCTGCATAATTCTTCATATGATACACAGCCTCATCCCAGAAATAATTGTTGGTTTCCAGAATAATCAAGCTCACCTGTTTCAGACTATTTCAACCACAAGCTCCAAGCAGTTATATTATAAGCTTACTCACATTTATATCGTTTTTGACCTACCTGCACAATTTTTCTTGACTCTTTCTAGTTCATCTTTTCTTCGTGCAGAAAGCACCAACTTACAGCCATATTTAGCCAGTTCGTAAGCTAAATATTCACCGATACCGCTTGAAGCTCCAGTGATCCACACAACTTTCCCGCGCAACGCTACGGCGGGATTTTCACCTATCAATTCGTAAATCATAAGCACAAAATCTGCATCCTGATATTTTACCAGCAAGAAGCACACAAGAGGAACTAAGACTGCAAGAACCAAAAGTGTTCGAGCCATGATGCAAAACTAATCACCCCCGTGACGAATGTTGCCTCCCTTGTGACCATGGTTGTTGACAGAAGGTATTCTTTGTCACGCAACGCTTCAATGGGGTCCTCCTTCCCTTACCTTTCAAACGCTTGACACCGGTGGGGCTAAAGTGCAGGGGTCAATTTAATAACACTTTTGCAAGAAAAGGAGGGTAATTTACAAGCGTACCTATTGTTTCCAGACTCTAAAACAAGAGTAGCAAGAAAGAATGAGCTAAGAGAGCGAATTCCCCACACCTGGCCCTCCTCCTATGAAAACTATTCATGAAATCTATTCTTGGTTCTGCTGCGAGGACAGTTGGTCGCATCTAGGCTACGACAAGCTACGACAACGATGAAAACATTGCTATTTACGGTGCGTGTGTCGGTGCGTGTGCGCACGATATTCATGCCCGCAGGCAAACCAAACTGATACAAATCGTATTCGAAGTAGTCTTGAGCTTGCGCAGCCTGACGCACTATGAAGCCCCAATGTACCCACGCAGAATGTCAGAAAGGGGCCAGCAGAATGTAATTTCCCCTTTCTGAGCGTTGAAAAGAAAAATTCCTGTCGGTCCAAAAGGCTTTATTTTCTAAGTGGTTCGATTTTCGATTGACAGATGACGAAGAAAAACGAACCGCGCGAACTGCGTCCCATATTCCATTAACAACGGAAGTCTAAATCTTTCTTAGAAAGCAGTCAGATTGTTTTCGCTACACTCTGGGTCGGTTATATCGCCGCGTATAAGCTATGGAAGTACTGTTATCCCAGGGGCGGATCTAGGGGGAGGGTGCAGGGGGTGCGCACCCCCCCTGAGATGACCTGCGGTTCTCTAATACAACTGGTATTCCGCAAAAAAAAAAACTATGTGGCTTATCGGTGTTGAAGTAGAGCAAGAGACGAGTGCACCCCCTCCTAAAAAAAATCCTGGATCCGCCCCTGTATCCCAAATGATACTGCGAAATAAATGTTGTTGTTGTTGTTGTTGTTGTATGAGAGTCACAACGGAAGTTCATGTATGCCCCTATATCAGGGGCACCCAACGAGAATATAGTTCAAAACCACTTAAACATAGCATTGTTAAACGTATTTTAGTATTTGAACGGTAGATATAAGCATATTTTTATGCCCTAAAAATTTTTCATCTGTTCGGATTTCCTAGCTGAAAGTCTAGTGATCAGAAAATTATAGGGATCAAAACTTACCTTTTTGAAAATTTCAGCCAGAAAAAAGGCTTCCGAAAATTCTAGGTGACCTTTTAGGGTAAAAATCAGTTAAAAATAGGCAAATATACCATTTTTTGGATGTTCGAAAATCCTAGGAGAGGCAGGCAAGCAAGAAATTTTACAACAAATTTTTCGAAAATTCTAGTTCTCAAATCGTCTTCCGAACAGATATTCTTCCGAAAATATTGTCGTTGGGTGCCCCTGCTATATATGCCCCTGCAAGGCTGCAAAGGCTTTGCGTTCGACAGTTACAATGATTTTAGCAAAAAAGCAAGAAAGCGCGTTACCGCGGATGTCAGTACATTATTGGCACAACTTCTAGA